AACTCAAAAAAAATTTAGGACATAATGTTTGTCAATATTTTTTCTCAACCCTTACTGTGGTCTGCCGTCGCTCTACACTGCGGTCGCACGATGCAGTATCGCCTTGCTCAGAATATTTTTTATAGAAATTCGTAGACTGCACTTGTAGTCCGTCTAGGACTTATATCTTAAGAGGTCGGCCATTTTGGGGCTAAGTCGTTGCTTCTGCAGTCAAGTATAACGCACAGACTTTGAGAGAAGTGTTCTTCGTCTTCTACTCGTAACTCAACATATTTGGGATTGGCGGCTCAATACAGAACGTTGTGAAAGGGTTTTTGGCTGGTTTCTTTTATAGTCTGTTACACCACATACCAATTTGGAAACGTAGGTAAAGTCGAAAACATCGAGCCTGGAATGGACAAATAAGACCAAGCCTGGTAGCGCGAAGAGTTCCTGAGGTAATATTTAGTTTCTTTTAATCAGATGTCTACTAGAGTAGCAACTTGACAAGAACCAAGAACTGACTTATCCTTCTACTTTTCATTCTACTTTAAAAAAAATGAAAATTTAAAAGAAAAAGTAATCACCCGCTACTCTACTTGTAAAATCATTTGATAATTTATGAATAGTTATGAGAAAATAAATAGTTACACCGTTTCAAAATTATGTTACTTTTTGTTGTCATTATGCGGTTTTAGCAGTTAACCGTTAGAGAGTTCTTAGTTTATAAATGATTAACTTATTACTTGTACCTGATGACATCATTAATATAAATTTACGATGCTTTACAAAATCGCAATACCTACAGTCAGTCATGAAGTCTGAATCTAATGGAACATAAATACATAAAGTAACAACACGGTTCAAAACAAAATTGATTTTGAATCAACAAAGGATCGGCAGTTTTTTGAAGAATTTCTTTGATGCGCACGAGTAGAAAGTATCACTGTAACATAAGCTTAATTATTAATTGAAAATCTTGTAATGAATGCTGTATAGTAACCGAACGATAGGGTTGTCGAATACCAACTTTAAGATACGAAGTAGGTGATATTTAATTAAGTTTAATTTGTTTTATTTATGTATATTTTTATGTTGGGGGCAGCGGCATTTTTTGTACAATAAATTTAACATATTTTATCTTATACCTTGCAATGATTTTTTTAACCAACAAGTACACAGGTAAAAATTTATCATTATTTTTATTTGAAATGACAACGCACAAACACTACAAGTGTAATAAAATGGTAAATCGGTACCGCCAAGCAATACATATGTAAACAGAGCATTACTTATGGGGTTTTAAAGGTTGCTTCCTTAGGAAAGTTACTTGAGGACCAACTTAAAATAAATAACTATGATAAAATTCTTCACTAGTCTTAAAAGTTTATCTAATCTTTTCTTCTTTAGTGTGGCAACCCTGTCCGTAAACTCCTCGGTAGCGCACAAAGCGGGGAATCAAAGATGGCGGTACGTTTGATGCGCGCACGCAGACGATGATCGCTCTCTTTTCAATATCGCGGCTTTTGATTTGCGGTACGTACAAAATAAATACAGTAACCATATTGATATCCTAATGGGGTGACCATTGAACTGCAAGAAGTTTTGGGTTTCAAAATAGGAACCTGTTTGAAGATTATAAATGTGATTACATACCTGTTTTGGGAACTTTCAATAATACTAAAACTGTCTATATTAATCTTACTACTGCGAGCGGTTATTACTTCTTTCGTATTTTTAACTTTTAACCTCCTTTCTATGGAGAGGCCTATGTCCAGCAGTGGACTAGTAAAGGCTGTGCATGATTTCTAAATTTGAAAATGAAGAACTTCCATGCAAACGTTCTTTAAGGGTGGAATTCCCAAAAACTATGTCTTAGTGAGTGTTAACAACATAAAAAGCCATAATTTCAATTTTATAGCCCCAGCGGTGTAGGCTCTGCGTTCATGAATCAGTCAGTCAGTCTCTACTTTACTCATACGTGTATATTACAATGGTGAGTTAAAGCTGCTGCCAGGTCGGTTTGTATTGCAGCTAAAGGTTTATCAAGTATTATATATCATCAATATCAAGTATACAATATCATCATCATCAACAGCCTTTAAAAAAATATTTAAAAAAAATCGAATTCAGTAAAAATAATGTTGTTGGACTTTTTAGGGCTCCAAGTACCCGTAACGATTGCCACAGATGTTGGCAACCGGGACAGACGGCTTAACGTACTCTCCGAGGCAAGGAGGAGTCTCAATGTGTCAATCTACCTGTGAATTGCAAAAGAGTGGCCATGAGTTTGTTTGCCCTTTCTTCTCATAAGGCTCAACCCCTTGGAAACGGGCGGTTGTAGATCGGCACAGGCATATCATAGATTTTGTATGGGTTTGATTTTTGTTCAATTTATTTGCTTACTATTTGACAAAACAGAGATTGTTGCTTTTGTGTGTGTTGATCTATGACTTTAGAGTCTACATAAAAGACGATTTCAAACAATTTTGAAAATTTTATGAAACAAAGAGATTTTGAGTTTGAGTTAACAATGGTCACCCATCCATAGACTAACCTGTCTAGGGTTGCTTAATTTTGTAATGTGTTAACCTACTCGGTAATCACTTAGACACGGGCCCCACAGTGCAATGTTGAATCTTACTACTGATATGAAAAATTCCGAAAGTTAGTTAGGATGAATGTTTGTTATTCAATCACGATTGAATGGATCTGGATGAAATTTGACACCGACATAGATTAAGTAGTCGGTTAGCGTACATAGGCTAATTTGTATTAGGAAGTTGGCATATTATAGGTTTATTATATAGCTAATGTTCTACTGTTAATACATTCAAAGTTAACAAATAAAAGAAATATACCTTCTATCTACGTTTAAAGTATTAAAATTACGTTATAAGAATGTGTAAGGCATACTTTTACAAAAATATACATACAATAAAACGGTGGTGTTATGTTATCAAGTGAGAGCAATACGTGCAAGTATTGTGAGACAGTGAGATGATCCACAAACAGAGATTGGCCCCCGCTGCGCTCGTCAAGCTCCCGTGTCGTGCGCAAGCGCAGGTACCATCAACAAAAACAAACTGTTCTCATTTAAAGAACAATATTTTCAAATTTAATCACGTCAGCCGTGAAGCGTGCCGTCCACAGTTTCCTCTCTTATCGAGATTGTATGAGGACGGAAAATTTAAAACTATTTCAATAAGTGACTGGCAGTAAAATAGCCTTTTAGGGTTCCCTACCTCAAAAGGAAAAAAAACGGAAGCCTTATAGGATCACTTTGTTGTCCGTCCGTCTGTCTGTCAAGACCCTTTATCTCGGGAACGCGTGGAGGTATCGAATTGAAATTAAAAAGATATACTCAGGTCTACAGTCTCTTAAAGCTGTGAAAAAATCAAACTTCTAAGTTAACCTAAAAGAGATACGGCCATTTATGCCGCAAAAAACGTATATTTCGACACTCAAGGGAATCAAAATTTATAAGGGTTTTCCGTTGACTTAGAACAATGAAATTTGGCAAGTAATACAGTCTTATACTACAAGTATAGGGAAAAATCAGAAAACTATACACTTGTAATTAAATCATAAAAAACAGGGTCTTTATGCGAGGAACGGCGGTCCAAATTTTGAATTGAGTTAACCGTGTCATGAGGGATGGAAAAGAATTCATTGGCACAAGATTAAACAGATTTTTAATTATTTTTATGATGTATAGTTTTCGATTTATAATAATATATACCTACAAATTTGTACGGAACCCTCGGTAGGCAAGTCCGAATCACACTTTTTCATAATAAAAATTACGATTACGAATACGAAAATAAATGTAATCAACAAATTAAAAACAAAAAGTACAAAATTTATTTTTATATATAGCAAGTAGAGGACAGGAAGGATGATATGCGAATAGGAATTAATGCAGTTAAAGGGTCAAGTACAAATGTTGCTTACTTCAATGTGACAAAAGGTGAACCGCATTATTATATTAACTAAAAGTACGATAAAGTACGATTCTAGTTATTTAGCGAGATAATGTGTTATTCTCATTCAACAATTAGAATTTGGTCAACCTCAACATGTAACACGGTTTCACAAAAGATTACAGAATTATCTTTACAAATGCCCTCAAAATCAACCAACTGAATCTATTGCTTTATAAACACAAAAGCAACAATTTATTGTATGTAATATATATCATAATATGTTTTTATAAATATTACAATTTTCTATGTTTTTCTCATAAGGTCTTTTTGTTGGCCATGCTTCTGAGTTTCTATAATATCTAAAAATCTATGTAATTTTTTTAATGCGTCCAGTAGTTAGTTGGAAAAAAATGTTATAGACAAATATTTGACGAATACTTTTGTAGTCAGTACACCGTTTACCCAGCATCGTTGGTAGCTGTCAGGAGCATCAGCTCGACAGACAACCACTGTGAGGAATGCGATCTCGGAATTATTCATTATGAACATTTTAATCAACTTATTGTACAGTAACCTGTTCGCAGATCTAAAATTGTTCGTTTCTTGATAATACAGATAAAGGTAGCCGGCTCTAGAGACAGATAATGGCTAAAATAACTTAGTAATTTTTAATTCTAAATAGTCAACAGCCACGGTGGAACTTGAACTCACGAGAGTTTAAATACCGTCAGGATTTCTGCTCTAAAATCCGACCATTTTATCCCCGTGATACCACCAAATGATAGGGTGATGATGTTGTCGTGGGAAATCGCCTAATCCCCATGACACCTCCAGCAGTATCACGGGAATTTAAGATATAACTGTGACCCCATCGAGAATTAATGATTCCAATGATCTTAAGCATCAAACCTCTTCTACAAGTTGGTGAGAAGTTGGGTTTTCTACTGATTCCAGATGGTGTTGCAGAATAAGGCCAATGTGATTTTCACATTAAAAATAATACTTAGTTATATGAAAATGATAAAAAAATAATGAAATCTTAAATATTTTAATATCACATAAAACAAACGTTAAAACAAAATAAAAGCATTAATTTCATTTTTTCCTTTCCCAACCTGGAGGTACATCAGGATCTTTCAGATTTTCACTTTTAATTTTTCTCCTCAAAGTCTCCAAGCTATACGCATCCAAGTTTACCTCGGGTTTGTCTTTAGTTTCTCCCAAAAGTTCTTTTATCTTTTTTGATATCTCCTCATCTTTTCCTTCTCGCGCGAAATAGCAATTATCTGTTTCTGTTGGCAGACATTCTGTGGTTACAGAATAAGGTGGACATTCAACCTCGCTATTAATGTAGAACATGCTCGAAGATGTATCAGTTCTAGGCGGCGAATACACAAATGGTTTCGGCAAAGATTGTAAGGAGCCAATCTTTGTGGTAGATGCTTTATAGAGATTTTCATGGCGAGAACTTGACATTAGAGGCTGAAAAATATACTTTGTTGTTGAATTTGAGAGTCGCGGTTTACTTGCGCCATTATATTGCAGCTGTAGATTCCAAGGCCTCATCTGCCTGCTCACGAAGCTTCTAGTAGCAGCAAAATACATTTTGGATGTTCAGTTTTAATTTCACATTAATTTAATTGTTTGAAATATATTTCAAAATGGTAAACCACCGAAATTTCCTAATTTTGTGGCCCTCAAGAAAGAAAAGTCTAAACTGTCACTTGATATTTTTACTCTCCTGCCAATGCTTAGAACCAAAAAGAAGATAACAAATACTACGTTGGACCTTAAAATAAACCTTTAATAACAATGAAACACTATGAAACATATACCCGTCTCTTATTTGCTTATGTCTATAGTAGGCGTGTAAGTGAGAGACCATCAATCCTAACAGGATGTTTTAAAAAGTAATTTAATTCGAAATTTAAATACTCAAATTCATTTTATCAAATGGCTCCCAGTTTGGATATCGCTAATTCAAGCAACAAAGAGGAAAGGTGAGCTGTATGAGACTCCAAATTGTTGGAGTTCTGAAAATAAAGTAATATCATTTTAAAGAAATGGGTACGCGTCGGAGTCAAGTGCAGCACTGGCTGCACACTAGTGCAGTACCGCGAAGGTCATTTCGTTTAATGAGTTTATCCTGTATTAATATGAAAACCACTGACAAAAATTGTTCCATTCCATTCCAATACATATTACCAGAATAGGGTATTCTATGTTTGAAAAAGTACTTCCAAATGTTGATTTTCTTAATAAAAAGCCACAAAAAATATATTTCGAGCAAAATCGACACATTTTCTTGCCATAAAATTAAATTAAATTTTAAACCTTTTTTAATCCCGCGAAAACGCTGTCAGCCATTTTGGTGATGTCATATTGGGATAAAACAACAGTCGTGTATGTACGACCGGCACTCATTCAACGTTAACAGCTATAAATATTTGGTGTTATTTTGGTAAAATAATGAATTACAATCGCTATTGTTGGTGTGTTGAGTCTAGTTGTACAAATACTAGCATTAAAACTCCAGAAAAGTTGTTTATGAGGTAAACAAACACAACTCATTTCAATATGAGTTGTGTTTGGTTGGAACTTGCAAAACAGATCCTAAGTCGTTATCAACTAAAAGTCGATTACTAAAACCCTAAAACTAAAATAATAACTAAACTAATTTTTTTACTAAACTAATTTTTTTACTAATTAGTTATACCTGGCACTTACATAGAAAAACAGTATAATATAACAAGGAAAACTTCCAAAAATGTTTAAACATTTCGGAATTCGGCAGAACAGAAGTCTGGGTATCATGCAAAGAACTTTGCAACCATCATTGAACCAATTTTTGGCAGATTCTCACTATCTGCTTTTACAAAACCGGTTTGCATTTTAATAAATAAATAGGTACCTACAAATAAAATGCACTGTGTACTTTCGTCTGTATTACTTCTTGAAGTGTACCTAGCTGTTTCACTGAACTGGCGACTCGTGTATACAAATTAAAAATTACGACTTTTAATTTTAATATAATAAAACAATAATGTGCTTTTATGACCCAAAATCAGAATATTTAAGTATATTTCTACATAAATTTTAATTTTTATCAAATTTCATAATTTATTTTTCACTACCGTAAGTATCCTATTCTAATTGCCATTGTACAGGCTCTGTCTAGTTTAAAATAAGATGGTTGTTTGTGAGGTAAGTCAGATGGAACAGCGAAAGGATCCACCGTAAGCTGTCGATGGCCGGCCGATTGATATGCTACGGCTCCAAACTACACCATTTTACCTTGTCCGAACATCCTTCAGATTACCCGGCAATCTAAAACTAGGTTACGGTAATCATTACCGTAACCTAGTTCTGACGCATTTTTTTTTCCTTTTATGTTAGAGGGGGCAGACGAGCAGACGGGGCACCTGTTGGAAAGTGACCATCGCCGTCCATGAACGTCTGCAACTCAGGAGTTACAAAGTAATTGGACCAGCCGGGGTTTTGTGAATTAATTAGTACACCGATTTACACACAAAATTGGATTTATTAAAACTAAGACTGTCCTACTGTGTATATATTTGAAAACATACAAATACCTATGTTTATTTAGAAATATGTGTGCCGGTTGACAGACAACTACGTGAGTTACAATGAAACTAAAATTATACTTAGTCGGCGAAATCTGGACGTTTAATACGTCCCTGTCTCTACCAATTCGGGGTAAAGACGCGAGTGTTTGTAAACTATGGTATTGAAATTAACAATTAACTACAATTCTCAATGGTATTGTTATTGTCATTGGTCATTGGTATTGTTAACGCTTGTTATTGTCACTATTTTTCGTACGTTTTTATTCCGTGAAAAATGTTGTATTAAACCGACTATCTTTACACACAATGTACTGAAATGTTCAAACTTTTCTCGAGTAGTTCCGCTACTCGATAACATATGGCGCCACCCGTCAATAGGACGACCCGCAACAATATTGTTGGGAAATTAATGTCTTTTTCGCCTTTTAATAATATTTGATTTGCTTTGTTAAGTTAAGCCAGTTATGAAAGATAAGTTTTATTTAATAATTTTACTACTTTAAACATTACTCTCATCCCTTACTAGAAAATCCCTTCATAGCCAAATATTTCTACCATCCTGTGCAGCTTGCTATCACATCATCACATCAACAGCCTTTAATAGTAGACTGCTGTACATAGGCCTCTCCTTAGAAAGGAGGTTTTGCCCTACTATAGGCGATGGCCCGACATGTTGGTGGGGCAAGTTTTCCTTTTCTTTACAGTGTTGTTGTCCTGCGTAGTTTCCTCCCTTATTCGGCTCTTACGACACCCACGGGTTGAATAGGGGTGGTGACACTCCATGTTCTTTGCTGTTACCACATGGATATGCAACTCTTACTATGCAAATTAATGTAAATGTATGTATATGTGATTTATAGTAGGCGATTTGATTGATTATTTTGATATGACCTTGAAGTGTCAATACGTCAATGATATTTTTGAAAAATTTGCTTTTTATGGTTTTCAATTTATACGCTATCATTTTTATTTTTCGGGTCTCTGTAAATGCCCATGAGCCCATGATGCTAAGTATTGATTTACTCGAGCGTCATGGGGATCTATAGAGAATTAGGTAAGAAAGATTAGGTAATAGAATGAATAAAAGTTTAAAAATGTATCCACTTTCAGCGGCGGGGAAAGCTTCTACAGGTTTTCAAAAATGTAAGGGGAGGAAATCGAAAAACAAATATTCGCGCGCATCAGATATTTTAGAAATATGTTATTTGGACGCCAAAAATGCACCCATTGAAAGGTCAGACGAATTTAAAGTGACAAGTTCGTAGCGAATAATCAAAAATGCAACACTGAAACTGAAATACCCGAGCGTGTTAGAGTCTATACAGACGAGTTCAACTTGATGTTCCTCTCATACTAGCCAAAAATCTGACAATAAAGGCATTTTAAATCTGACGGTTAGAAAATATTTTGATTTTTTATAAAATGACTAATAAAGATTATGTAGACATTCAAAGGAAATTTCTTGCTTGTTTGCTTCAAAATAAAAAAAAAATGTCAAGGTTATGGGTTTTTTGCGGAACTTTGTGACCCTCCCACTGCTTTATGTTTAAATACACACTAATGTGTATGTAATTTACTCAACTTACCTTAATCTTACACGCTTTTTAATAACTAATCTGATGGGCTGCCCTAGACGCTCCCCCCTCATGGGTTATACCATACATGGGGCTCATGTATGGTGGAGATACTCAACTGGGCGTAAGGTATACCTCTTATCTTAATCTGACACGCTCGAGTTGGTCAGAGGATCTTTTAAAAATATCAATCCCATATCATGAGTAGTCATAGTACGGCATTGATATTTTTTCTTCTATGATATACATATAATAAATATATACAGGTTACATTACATCGTTACCATACGGTCTTCTATTTTTCTACTAATAGAACAATGAAAATACAATTATATAAAAAGAGGGGCATCGCAAGACGTGCAGCAGACCTGAAAGGGAGTGGAGACGGCAAGCCGCAACCCTTTCCATCAACAGCCAGGACCACTCTGGCAAGAGTGTTTGACTAAGAAGCACTATTTAATTTAAAACATTAATACACTCACACCAAATAAGGTTCTTCTCTTGAATTTAATCTTTAAAAATATCAACTAATATTTAACATGATCGTTCAGAACCATTAAAAGTTTATATACACTCATTTATCTTTCTTCTTCAGCGGTAACTCAGGGTTCTCCTTCAACTGCTTCTTAATCTTGTTCAGTTCTTCTCTCTGCTTTATTTGGAAGTAAGCTTCTTCTTGGGCACTACCGAATCGACCTAGTCCACCTCCAGCTTCTCTGATGGACCCACCACCTCCTCCACCCTTGCCGACACCTGAACCTGGCATTCCGGCTGGGTTAGTGTAACATCTTTTGCCCAAAAACGAGTATCCCACGATGCAGTCCAAAGATTTTAAACAATACTTTCCACTGGATTTAATAGGAAGCAATTTCATTTTTTTTGCTTTTTATTATTATGACAAGCAATTTTCCAAAAACCTCTTGTCAAAATAAAGCAAATTCTTATAATTTCAATGTCACTGCATAGCTTTTTAAACTTTTGTATATGCCAGTGTGACATATTGTAGGAGACCTATTTTCGTTTTGATACTTGCTTGAAAACGTAAGGGCCGATGGCCATCACGATACAAAAGCGGCTGAAGGTAAACCAATAAAATAATTTTTGTTTGGTTTTCAGGTATTTAGTACATTATCCTTTAAAATTTTGGAAACAACTGAATTGGACTTTATCGACATACCAACACGTGGCATAATTCTGTACTGACCAACTAACAGTTAAAGCGCCTGAAATTGAAGTAATAGCAATTCTTAGTTTAATGATATGCTCTACTGGAAATTGTAGGTGCTTTTTGTGCATCCTGTTTTGCCACAATTGTTTCGTAATATAATCAATTGAATTTTATCATTCTAATTTTGACAAGACAAGTCAACTTCCAACTCGTATAGCGTTATGGCAAGATCGCCGTGAAACAAATTAATTTCTTCGATTTTGATTAGGTATCTACAGTTCATTTACAAAAAAAGTATTGTGGGTACAAAATTTCGTTTGCGCTCAAACTAACTTTTAAGCTATAATTTTATGATATATAACTATTATCATAAAATGACGAAACTAGTGACGGATTAAGAATACGGAATGTCACTATCCCAATTCATCCCGTGGGTGTCGTAAGAGCCGACTAAGGGCGCAAAACAATGCAGGACACCAGCACTGCAAAAAGAAGGAACAACTTGACACAAACCCTATATCAACCCGTCTGGCCAGCGTGGTATAGTAGGCCAAAACCTCCTTTCTAAGGAGAGGCCTATGTCCAGCAGTGGACTATTAAAGGCTGTTGATGATGGTGAACGACGATAAATGGGTATTATTTATGGCAATGGAACTGTAGGTAAAGTATTAGTATGCAGGTTCTCAAATATGGGCTGTTTAGTTACAAACAAGAAGAACCAACTGTAAGTGTCTGGGTTCCTAGATTCAAGGTTTTGATCTGTTGATTTAAATCAAAGTAGCTTTTAATTTACTTTGTGAAAATTTACTTTTTCGTTCGTTTAAACTTGTTTATCTATTATTAGTTACATATCTATTGTTGGTTTAATAGTTAAAATGAAAAAGTCCACTTTAATTAAACGAATTGATTTCTTTTTGCGGTATTCATGTAAATTAGAGCAAATTTGCTTAATGGTATTACGACCACATAAATTGCAGTTTTTTTCGTGTTACATTTCAACGATAAAAGCATTTGTCTCGCTTAATTGTAGGTTTATGTCCATTTATATAATTTTTGCACTAATTATTTTCACGTAGGTATATAAAACAAGTTCGCCATCCATTTTTTTGTCAGTATGAAGTAAAATGAGGGAAAACATTTAATTTCTATTCGTCATCAAGATGTATTTATTTACGGTGAGTATCTACTGATCTAAAAGAATCGTTGAACGTACTTAATTTTCACAAACTTTCTGTCAGCCATTTTGCATTTTTTTTAATAATTTGTTATTTATATATGCCTTCTTTTGCATGTATCACGTTATTCTGTACACAGATACATAGATATTTTATATTCGTGTACAACTGTCACAGTAGAAGTGATTTACGTACATTCAGAAAAATAAATGTATATATTTAAAAAGCAAAACCCCCGATATACCTTACTGTTCCCCGTTTCTCACGATTTTTAAAGTTATTTCGTACCTATAATGGAAGCATATGTTTTCTTACTATCGACGAAGCTTAATTCTTATAAATAATCTTATGAAATCCCTACGAAATTTGATAACTAAACTTCCAGTACTTTAAACGTATTTATTTATTTCAGATTTCGTTGCTGCTGATTTCTAACATAATTAAAAAATCCACGTAAGTAGATTTACTTAAATAGAAGTGCTTAAAAACTGCTGCAATGCTGCTGTATCATAGCTAAATACTGCTAGTTGTATTTAGTTATTTTAACTCACGCGGCTATTCTTTAAAAAACTTTTTTTTTAAAGCAATCAAGGGATTGCTAGATTTTTTTATTTGGTGAGAATTAAGATATAACTAGCTTTTATGTATGTCGGTTATCAGACTAAAAAGTTGCCAATGTTACTCGCTGATAATGTAGCTTTCTATAGGTGAAAGAATTTTAAAAATCGGTTTAGTGATTTAGGTGTAAAAGTATTACAAACAAATTCACTTTCACATTTATAACATTAGTCTCGATTATTTACCTAAAAAGTATCTATATAATGAGACTCTTTGTACCCCATTTTCACATATTTCGATGGCCCCTCGGGATGTACAGTTCTGTAGTACTAACTTAAAATATATATGTTTAAGTAAAATGCCCATATTTTTAAGTTATATGTGTTAAAATTAAAAAAATACTTAACATTAGGAAATGGCTACAAAATTATACAGTTCTCCAGTGTACATCTATACGGTAGGTACCAACACGTTGACCTATAGTACGGAAAGTCTTAAAAGAAAAATTTCAGCTCAACTTATGCTGACAAATGAAATGAATGCAATATTAGTGAATTGTGGTTGAAAGTTGATGACGTTGTTACACGCTAAAGGTCTACAGTAGGTAATACACTCAATAGATCAGTAGAATGTTTTAATAAATACCCAAAACTCACTGCTTACTGTAAGAAGTGGATTTAGAAACATTTCTAAATCCACTTTTTTTAATTAAGGTTTTTAATTGCTACCTCATGGTAGCAATTAAAAACCTTAATTCATAAGGTGCACAACAAATAATACTTTGCTCAGAAGCAGAATCGCAGTAAGTATAGCTGCTATCGCAAAAGTACAAGCAACAAACATAAACTACAAGTCGGTTAGTTAAAGTAACTAAACATGCAAACTGATATTGTATTTTGGATGTAAATTCATCATCTTCATCAATGACAGCCTTTAACAGTCCACTTCTGGACATAGGTTTCTTCTCAGAACTGAGGTTTTGCCATACTATACCACGCCGACCAGACGGGTTTGTTTCAAGTTGTCCTTCTCTTCATATCTATGTCATTTGTAGTTTACAAATAAAACAAAATGATAACTAATGACCCTTTTAATACTTTACAGTTGTTACGAAGAAATTCCATCTCGAAGGATTAACACAGAAACAGGCAATAGTGATGACGGAAATTGTGTATGTTACCCGGGAGGACAATCTCTTATGCCCGAACTATCGAACCTTCAAGCCAATGGCCTAGAACGCCTCGTTGTGTACCTATATAAAAATGAAAATACCAATGAGGTATATGTCTTCCAACCAAGTGCTGAAAAACAATCACTTATACCTGACATACCATATACATCAGGTGATTCAATAAAACCAGTGACTACAGAGACCATCGTTTCGCTGTTTAGCAATTATCCTAATAACTTAGAATCTCAGCAGCCTGTCAGTACCCAGGGAGGTCCCATAGGATTAAATATAGGAATAGTACATCCTGAAACTAAACCAAATTGGGCTTTCACAGGATTTCCTAAGATAAAAGATCTAAATACTCAAATTCCTAATAAGGAATATGTTATCCCATCACAGTCACCCCATTTAGGTAGGTATCGTAGCCAACATCAGCAATTCAAACCAAGTGCATTCAAACTGATTGAGATGGAACCCAACCCCTCATCCAATTTCGACGATAGTTTAGCACAAGCCGATGTTATAGTTGATACTGACCCTAAAAAAGATACTTGGCTTTATAAAGAAAAAGAAAATGTTATTTCATTAAATTCTTATCAAAATAAAGCTACTATACAATCAGTTAAACCTCAAATTGACTATAATATCCATGAGGCTGAAGTAAATTTGCCTAAAAGATTATCAACATTCGATGACTGGTATAAAGAACAAATGGAAACTGTCCAGAACCAAAAAATATCGAAAACTAATAAGGATGTGATTGACTCAGATGGTCTCAAACCATTGGTGCTGAAGACTTTGTTCGATAATAATATACATATAGGTGCTAAGGGGATGATGATAGACGATAGCGGTACACCAATAGATCTAAGCAATTTGGAGCTTCGTCCAATTTTAATAGGTAGCGCCGTTAATTTCCAAGCATTAGAATTAAACCCACAATTAACGTTTCCAGAAACGTTACCATACTTAGAAGGAATATTGATCATGCTTATTCATCCTTTCAAAATTCTAGGTGTTATACCTGTAGGAAAAACATATGTGTCTAGCCCTGGAGAGACTAATAATCCTAGTTTGAAGTATGCTTACAAGAACTCAAATCGAATCGATACCAAAACTGTTACAAGTTTTTCAAAAATACCACTTTTTGCTGACCTTCAGACCCAAGCGACGATAAAATCTACCAACCCGTTTAAATTACTTGAGCGACCAGTATCATCTGAACCATCGGTATTTTCTGTAAATCATAAACTACCAGAAACGTTAGTCTTAAAACCATTAGACTCCGAACAAACCAAATTTCCAAATTTATTGAATCCGCTACCTTCCGCTGTCGAAGAACCGTTTATACTTAGCTCTGGTTCCCAATCTTATGACGCTAATAAACGCGTGAAAGAAACTAATAGCTGGAATTCTCTTTCGAATTTAAAGTTGGATTATCAAAGTCCTGATGGTCAAATTAGTCACTTAAAGAACAGTCTTATTAAAAGCAATCTAGATGTTAACAATAAATGGAACCTTGCCCCAAGTTCTGCGCTGAAACAATATTCAAGTTTCGATATTTCTACTCTTGGAAATGATAACCCTCATTTAACTGTTTTTCCGTTAAATGATAAAGTAGCCTCACAGTTTAAATCTAACATCAACGCGCCTAATATAATTGCGTTTCCAATCAATAGTCACGTAGGCTCTACGTCAAATCCATTGATTAAAGGCCCTAGCTTAAGACAGGAATATTCTCCTAGATTCAATAACAAATACCTTACTATTGGACCAGACATTGAAGACACAGTTGATAGTAGCTTTTGGAGCTCGTTTTCAAACTCTGGGTGGGCATATAACAATGGCTACCCCAGTGCACAGCCTCTTGCTCACCAACAGTCGCCATGGACCAATGGATGGGGAGACGCCATTATAAAATCGATACCTTCTGTTCTTAACTCTGAAGCAACTGGAATTAAAATCTCAAACTTGAATAATTTAGATGGCAGTCAAAATCAGCCTTTGGCTGAGGGTGATACACCAATAGGATCTACCAGAAGGTTCTCTAATCCTGTGATAAAGGGTGTTTTAAAAACATTAATTCAGATGGTTATAGACAATTTGGTAAATACGAAGAATCAAGAAGGTGGACAACAGAAAAAACATGAAACTGAAACATCAGAAGTCAAAGTTAATCATACGTTATTTAACCCTAACGCATTAAAATTAGCGGGCAATGAGGACGGCGATGGTCCAGATTATAGAATAATTGGTGGCTCGGCAGCCACAGGTAGTGGGTCGCCCCTAAGTAATAAGGGAAGAAGTGGTTTAGGTATAATTTAACGTTTTAATATTCTAAAATTCATTTACTAGGTAAGTGGACGTATTATACAAACAACGACTCAGCTTGTCAATGGACATTGAGAAATTAATATATTAATAAACGGGTTCTGGGAAGCATCATCTTGTGTTTTATTTTGTGAGTATTCTACCTATTTATACAATTGTAAATAATATACATCATCGGTACTAAAATTTTGCGTATCCACGTATTTTTGTCACATAATTATTATCTTTCTAGCTCATACTTTTTAATTAACTTTTCTGCACTTCTGCGTAATTAAACATTTTAAGTATTTCAAATTTAATTCGCTATCATGCGACATATTTCTTTCAAACAGTTTTTCCATATTGTGTGTATATACACATAATGGCTGTCGAATTCTTGTTTTCTTATTGTATCGACTTTTGTCACATGGCAGGCCTAAATAAAATAATATTCTGTACTTCTATAGCTCTATGTTGCCGTTTTTAGCTTTCTGCCTATTTTCTACATTTAAACATTAGGTAATTATTTTTCATTAAAAGACACAAATAAATTCATACAATTCATATACATAAACATATTACGACACAAAAAGCCAATGAAAGGTCCTTGCGATTAATTTCCAAACATGAAATTGTTCTGTGCGCAATATTAATTTGTTTAAAAAGGGGTACAAAGAATTTTCTTTACATATCTATAATTAGATATTATTGTCCGTGTGGTGAAGGATTAAGAATACACCACCCCTATTAACCACACCTATTCATTCTGTGGGTGTCGTAAGAGCCGACTAAGGGTCTTACGACGGTCAAGCTTAGCAGGTTAACAGCACTGCAAAAAGAAGAAAAACTTGAAACAAACCCTATATCAACCTGTCTGACCTGCGTGGTATAGTAGGCAAAAATTATCCTTTCTTAGGAGGGGCCTATGTCTACCAGTGGACTATTAAATGCTGTTGATGATAATGACGATCATATTAAGATTAGGACGCGGATATAGGTTACATAGTCTATGTCGTCCAATCGGAAGAACTGAATTGCTTTAAGTGCCATCTATGAACAAAGTCTGGAACTTTAAAATCCCATTTTAAATAAAAAAAGTTTTCTACTATTAGAAAAGAAATTCCAGTATATACATAATATAATATTGCTAAAGGCGAAATAAAAATGTTGTTTAAATTTGCCCAAGTAGCAAAAATTCAGTATCCAGCCATCTACCTGATTTTCCTAAAAGTACACATGGCTGGTGGGGACATTTTATGAGTGCCCAACTAGATGTTGACAGTTACCAAATGAGTCTACTGTAAAAAATACGAGATGGCGCTATTTTGTAACTTAACACATTCGTTTATTTTTCTTTTCATAATTAATTATCTTTACAAAAAGTGACAAATATGCATGTAAATTTGTATATTTGATTACTATGTCGAAAATATTAATTTGACTGTGGAAAATGGCTTCCTTCTTTAAGATACTACTTTGCTTCAAGATTTAAGCCATAGCGGCAAACGCATGCATCGATAAGCTACCTATATAGTAATTTGCCGAATGCCGAGCCAGTCGGTTACAGATTGCCGAGGGAGTAGTGTCGACTCGCCCTCAAAATATCGCTACACGTTCCGGCGTTATACGAACAAAATAACTTCGATTTTCAATGACAATAAGTATAAAACAGCTATAAAAGTGAATAGAAGTTTTAGTTTCGTTGTTATAAATCTGTTTTTACTTCAAAAAGCCGTTACTTTAGTGATTCGCGGTATTCTTGGAGTGAACTATTGTTTGTGAATAATAATCAGTGTTGTAGTTTTTGAGAGGATGTTATCATTACCCTCCATGGTACTAGGAAATTGACATTTTTGAATTTCATGGGATTTGAAAGCTGGTAAGTTGTAGTAGTTTTTTTATTTTTATGTCGCGTTGTAATTAGTTCTTATAAGATTCTTTTTCAAAAAACGCGCCTTTAATCTTTACATTGTTTTGTAAACAATTGGTTGTTGTTTTAGCAAAATAATGTTTTTATAACAGCTTTGTTATTTTTAAAATATAAGTATAGCCAAATATTTTTGTAATGTATTGTTAAAATTTTAGTTTGTCGGTAAGTAATTATTTACGAAGAAGAATTGAAAAATTTAGAAAACAGCTGACATTTAAAGGAAAACATATTTTTAGCTTGTAAAGATTAAAAAATCACATTTGTCTCAACAATAAAAAAAGCGCCACAGCTGTTTATGATTTCACAACTTAGCAAAAAATAGTAAGTTGACCGTGAACGTGCGTCGTCCATTGCCGCCAGATCTTGCTCCGTTGGTTCACCTACCTTGCAAAATTTGTCACTCTACCACTAAGTTTTGCAATGTTTTCTTACACATAGTAGGTATCGTAAAATAATCTTACTCTGGTTACCTATTAAAAATTCTAACAGTTAGAACTTAGGTAGGTACGATAGACGTTTTTGATAAACCATAACTCGTAATGATATCATCACTGGTAAAAAATCTTCAACAAGTTCTATTAAGATATCAAATTTGGTTTACTATCTTATTTTTGCTGGGTATTTTAAAAATATTGAATATCTACTTGCGATTACATTCGAAGTTTCTGCATTCCACATTAGGTAGTCACTGTGACTACCTGCTGTTTCATAGGCGCCAAGGCCATTTCCCTGTGATTAACCACCGTCTAATTGCAATCGGTTCAATTATGCCATCCCACTTCATCATTACCACACCACAAGTTACCCAAGCGGGTAGAAAAAGAGGATACAGCTAAACTAATTATGAAAAATAGTTCTGGGTGGAGGGACTGAAAGGGTGGCAAAGCACTTGACTTGGCAACGGATTCTTGAGTTGCAGATGTCCTGTGGGGGGCGTTAGTTACTTATCATCAGGTGACCCAACTGCTTGTTTGCCCTACAATACCATTAAAAAAAATTTGGGAGAAAATTTTTGTATTTTCTTTCATTCTTTGTCATCTTTGAATAGGGTTGATTCACAGGTTTGAAATAAATTATTTCGGATGTACACCTATACATCTACCCAATTCTTCCAAAAAGCACTGCGTATACATACATATTCCTGTTTTCTTAAAAAATATTTCAATTGTGGTGAATATTCCACTTGTAAGCCTCAAACCTCCGCGCAGGTAGTAGTAATAAGGTCGATCGACCTTGCACTATGGTCAGTGCCAATGATTAATAAAAAATTAAAACTCAATGTAAAAAGAACTGTGTACATGCTTGACTGCTCTCGAGCAAGAATTATAATAATAATTAACCGTTTAAATAATAAATCCTTTGTATGTTTGTTATTTTATTAATGTTACATCTTACATAAAATATATTATTATGTAAAAACTAGTCTAAAATAAAAAAAATATTAATAAAAATAATAACCTGACACATCTCAGGCTATCTGATACCAAACTAGGCAAAGCCTTTACGATGGGTAACCTGATAAATATTTACATAATATTTTTGAACACAAACATAGGTATAATAGATAGATTACACCCTGACACAGAACAAATGATCGGTTTTCAAACAATTATTTGGCCCGAGTGGGAATCGGATCAACGATATGTTGCTCAGCTGTGGGAGCCATAATCAAAACAGGCAGGTCAAAATAAAAGAACATTTACACATTAACATTTATATTTAACAAAAAATCTAGACGTTTTCTTTTTTTAAACTAGTTTACCCAGTGGCGTTATCAAAAATAATTTAATCAAGGAAAAATGTACAAAAATACAAATTGAGACCAAAACATTATTTATTTTTGGTCTCTGCTGCAGTCTGACAAAAACCCAACAAAATAATATCTATCACAGAGTAGTTTTTGGTTTCTGTTTTTTATCTGTTTTTATCTGTGTGGTTTTAATGGCTTTCAGAGAAACATTCTACGTTATTATTCCACTAGTTGTGTTCCAGTATAGTTAAACCTTTAGTTAGTAAATCTAACGGTCTGGACTAATAAATATCTACGATTAATTAGCCAATGTTCTTTTCTTAGCAGTATTATTGCATTTATAATGCTTGAACAGCAGTAATGATACAACAACTTTTGCTTGAAAGATGGCACGGGGTGATACTCATAATATTGACTACATGTTTCTTCTCAATGTGCCTCTTGCGAGCGAGCACTGGCAATCATTACCGTGCACCTCGTTCTGTCTCTTCCGAGGTAAAACAGTTCTGCAGCACTCACGACTCCTGTCCATGGCCGCATATTCTTCAGCGAAGACTTTATCTTCCTTCTTCTCCCTACATCCAATGTTTGATTTGCCAAAATATTTTCCCATCATCATAAAATTGCAAGTCTCATATTTCACGTCTGAACATGTCCCAGGTATGATTTTCAACTTTGTTTTGTGATTTGTTTTTTAATGTTAATACAATGTAGGACCTCTTAATTGGCCTCCTTCTGTGTCTAACTTATCTTTAACATACGTCTGTGCGATTACATTTACACACACACAACACACAAGAGTACAGACAAAACGTTGCCGACTAATATCTAAATTCTACTCATTTCTCAGGGCACTAACCACTTGCCTGAGTGCCACCACTGCGATGGCCAGACCGTAGACACGGCTCTCCACACGCTGGCAGAGTGCCCGGCGTGGGTTGAGCAGAGGCGAGACCTCGTGGCGGCCATCGGAGTGGGAGTTCTCTCGCTCGATAGCCTGATTGCGGCTATCGTGCGGAGCGAGACCGACCGTCTCCTTCTGCGAGCAAGTTATGCTCGCGAAGGAGACGGCGGAGCGGGACCGGGAGAGGTTTAGGACTCACCCGGCCTGCCAGGCCCGGGAACGGGCCAGGTACCGCAGGCGACTCAGGCGCCGGAGGTCGCAGAACGACCTCCGTCCTGCATAAGCGCAGGCCTGGGGGTGACAGGTGAGGCCATCTGTCACCCTAGCAGAAGCAGGCCGGGGTGGCTGCGAGCGCGTTGCGAAGCGCGCTCGCTTTCAGGGAGCAGAGGGAACATGGTTCCCACACGGGGGGGGCTCGTCAGCCTGTTGTTGTAGATGGCCCGAGGTATGTCGGGGCACCAGGGACTTCCTTTCTAGGATATACCTGGTTCCCCGGCTATTAATACCCGAGACGGCGTGCGGTTTTAGTCGGTTCGAGTCCGACATGCCAGCTTTCCGCACGGAAAAAAAAAATGAAAACATAGAACCTAAGCCAGACCTCAAATGTAGCGGCCCCATTAAGTATTATCCTGTTTGTAAAAAAATATTCTACAAAAGTGCACGAAAGGTGGCCCTTGAAATTAAAAACACATGTGATTATTATTTTATATGCAATACTTTGAAAAACATAGCCACTTCAAAGCATAAAATAAATATGCAAGTTTTAATAGCTAACCTACTTAAAATGTTACCGCGCTTTCATTAATTTTTTTAAATAGTTAAAATATATCCTAAATATACAAAAGGTACAAGGTGAGATACTTGAGTTTATTTGCCAGTAGTTTGCGGCAGCAAGGCTACTGTTACTAGCGCTCGTAACGTAAGATTTTCTATGACCGGCTAATGCATTATGAGTGAGCTCACACACCTTTTTGTTCGACCTAAGTTCGCTGAGTTCATAAATAAAATTATTTGACGAAATAAGTGAACATTTCCCACTGATGCCATAGATATAAGTATAAGAATACATTAAAAGCGTCGGTTTTTATTTTATTTCCTTTACTAAGGATCCAGTAATTACCTTTTCAAAAAATGATAGTAGACTTCTACCTATGCTTTTAAATCATGTTTGTCACCTATGTCGTTGATTTATTAATTAAATTCTTATGAGGTAACTCTGCAAATAAGTGAAATAACTTATTTAAATTCAAAAGATAATATTAGTAAAAGTAATTACGGCCGAATAGAAAACTAGTGCCTGTTTTAAAATTCCTTGTAAAGTCGATTCTTTGTAATATTCTTATTAATAGTATTATTATTATTATGATCTAAATGAAATCATCATATTTCGTTGTTTAATTCATAACTTAACTTTAAATTCTTGTTGAACTTGAAAGTGTAAATAACTAAAATTGCGTAAACATTTAATATAGTTTACATATAAATAGCTTTAATTATCATAACCAAAGATAAATATTATATCATAACCAAATTTTAAAAGGTCAAAATTATTTTTACTTCGGTTTTGCGTCCTCGACCTGGACCTGCTCGAGATATGGCTCACAGTGCATTATCTATTCTAAAACAATTCCTTTCCAGTATAAACTCAGGATAGATAAAAATGAATAACCTCGCACATCACACACGGTTTTCTGATATATCCTATACTACATATAGTAACCAGACTGCTGATAAACATACTCGTACTTTTTTAATTCTAAATACATACATATTATGGAAACAACAGTGCCGACAGAAGTGAAAGCTTGAGATTTTTTTTTATTATTATAACAGGTTTTTTTTTCGATTTGAAAAGTTACGACTTGATTATATATATATCTATATAGTTTATATATATATATATATATATATATATAAACTATATAGATATGTATATATATAAACTATATAGATATGTATATATATATATATATATATATATATATATGTATATATATATATATATATATATGTATATATATATATATATATATATATATATATATATATATATATATATATATATATATATATATATACATATATAAACATATATTGTGTATACGTATATACACAATATATGTTTATATTATATATATGTAGTTATATTATCAATGTATTTTCAACCCAAACTCAACTCTCGTGTAAAAGGGGCCAATTTATGTAGATAATTTGGGCTTAATATATTATATACAGAGGTGTCGGTAACAGTATCAGTACCATCAGTAATATGACAATAAGCTTGTCTCTGCTTTACTAGTCAAGTGTCTTATCTTAGTGGAAGTAAATTAAAGGTTTCATACTTATACCTCTGTGTACCCCTTCTGACCTCTATATTTATGTATGACTAGCTGGTGCGGACTGACTAGCTGGTGGTGGTGACTGGTGCCGCGACTTCGTTCGAATTAGAAAAGCGCTGCCTTAGTGGGTTGTATTCCCGGATCGGGCAAACATTTAAGGGTTTTTCTGAGAGAATAAATAGCCTAAGTTACTTCTTATATAGACAGCTACAAACAGACAGACAAAACATATTTAAACTGGTTTTAGGCTTAGGTATCTTGCAAATAACCGTATGATCATGAAAAAAACCTCGTGTATCTAGTCCCGTGTACTTATCATTGGATTTTTAAGTCTATAGATAAAACGTATTTTGAATTGTACTGTAAAGTGGGTGGACTAGTTTCGAACATAATCGTGTTTATTACGATAGGTCAGGTAATGACGTGTCTAAATGATAAAAGCGAATTACGCCTGTTTAGGTCACTACAACACATTTCTACTTACTATGAGCTCTTAAGATAATTTATTACATCTGAGTGCTGGCCCCGGTCTACATAAAAGACCAGAAACAGTTGAATTGCATTATACTGTCAACAATATTTTTGTCACAAAATGTTCTATACTACTATAATCCGTGTGGTGACAGATTAAGAATACAGAGTGTCACCACCCCTATTCATAGCAAGGGTGTCGTAAGAGCCGACTAAGGGAGTAAACTACACAGAACAACCATACTGCAAAGAGAAGATAAACTTGAAACAAACCCTATACCAACCCGTCTGGCCAGCGTTTTGTAGTAGGCCAAAACCTTCTTTCTGAGGAGAGGCCTATATCCAGCAGTGGACTATTAGTAAAGGCTGCTGATGTTGATGTGCTATACTAAACCTAGTTGGTATTGTTTTGCAACAAATAGGACAAATAATTTTCTAAATTAGAATTTATGCTATGTAAAATGAGGTTTTAAATCGAACTTAAATTCTAAATTTCAAACAACTATGTACTTTGACCCATTTTCCTGTTTGAGATGTCCCGGGGGACAACATAGAACAAGGTGATATGGTTTAGTTAACCTTTCTAAGTTTCCTATGACGATGGCGTAAATATATTTCATGAATCAAAATGAAAATAAATTATTGGTGTGAACGGGAATTATCGTGTAGGTAACTAGCGTCTGCTATTCTTAATATGAATGTAAAAGATCATAAACGATTGTATTCTGAAGGGTTTGAATAAAATTTACAATACATTATGGTATCCTAAACTGGACTAACCTATGTTAAATCAGGAATACGTCTCCTTTTCCGTTTTTGAGTAACACAGGACTACTGATAATTAATATAAAAACAACCAGCTAGGCGTGTTCTTAAAACAATGCAGAAAGATTTTTATATTACGAAATTAGATATTCTTCTACTAAACAATTAATTAAGTATTTATACAAAATTACTCATTCAATCACGCTTTTTTATACAACCACTACTAACAAACCCCTTAATTGTTAATATCAATAAATATTTGAAACTGAAGTCAATGCATTGGATAGGTATTAAACTTAAACAGAAAGGGATCGTGTCCCCGACCCACGGTATTTCATTGATTACTATCGTCACGATCGAAATAATCGTGCCTTACTCACAAAACAAATCATTGGCATAAGAAACATCCACTGATCTGTAGAATAAAACTTACCACTTTGTTCAATATTATTGATTCGGTTTCAAAAAGATGTTGTTTGTTCGTGGCCGTTCTCCAGCACAGCAAAAATTTCGCACAGAAGTCTTGCTCATTAGAGAACAATAACCTTCTTTCTAAGGAGAGGCCTATGTCCAGCAGTGGATTATTAAAGGCTGTTGATGTGATGTGATGTGAAGCTGACTACGGCACCTATGAAATAAAATGTATACCTAAAATATTGATAAAAACCACCAGGGCTTTTAGGAATCTTACGAGGTGTAGCCCTGTTAGTCTTCGGATGGAAGTGGCACAAGGTTTTGTTGAAAAATGAACCAAAGAATTTTTTTCAGCATAATTTTATGTTTTTGTCAGTTACTTTGATACTAATTTGAGTGGGCACTATTACCTCTTTCCAACAATTCAATTGAGTGGCAACTGCGTTAGATTTTTGAGGAATCAATTCGAAATAATTAGTGTAATTAGTGTTTTGTTCACTGAAAATGTTTAGAAATACCTCAAATAAGAAGTAATCAAAAAATCACAACTAATTTTATAGCCATGGCTGATTAAATCTAATTTATTAAAGTGCGTAAAATCGATGTTCTCGTCAGAATAAATCCTTTCTGAAGAGTGAAGTTGCTCCTGAGAAATTGCGTATTATTGAATTTTAAAACATATACTTTTTTTCTAGTCTTCATCATTTCTTTCCACAGCAAACA